TCTTGTGTGTCAAACTAAGGAAGAAAGAATGGTACATGATGGCCTCTTCAAACCCTCTTGGATAATCATTGCAAATGCCCAGGTTCTTTAGCATGATTTCTGGAAGGCCAATGAGACGTCAGACAGGGATAAATCCAAGGCTGTGACTGTTGCTGAACTCCTTGGTGAGGTAGCTCACTGGACAACCCCAGTGGCAGGGGTGGTGAAGACTAATGTAGAAGGCTCCTTTAACCCAACCAGTGCGACAACAACCATTGGTGTTATTGCACGTGATGCTAGTGGGAGAGTGCTTGGTTGGCTCTCAAAGACTTCTCCTAGATGCATGGAACCAGGGCTGGCTGAGATTCATGTCATGGAAGCATGAATTCTTTTAGCTCGTGACCAAGGCTGGATATTGATTCGATGATATTGTCAACAAGTTGAGTCGACCTGCAGATGACCTCTTGGTCCTGGACAACATGTTTGGACTTTACATTCTGGTTTTGATTTACATTTTGATTTAGAATGTTCCGAGAACATTAGTTAAATTTTTTCAGATGTAACCCATCTAAATTTGTAATATAATTCCTTATTTTCAACAAAAAAAATCGTGAACTTATGATATTAATTCAGCTAAAAAATATAATTGATATAATATATGATTTCAAAGTCAGAATCATAAACCTATTTAATTTAAACTCATCCGTGTGATCTTATAAATCAACTAAAATCGTTTGCTATTATGTTTTAAATATTTTTTTCTCTATAAGAATAAAACAAATGATAATTGTACCCAGAAAAAAGAATAATGTCACAAGGAAGGAGGAGCAAAGCGAAGGACATTTCTCAAGCGACATTCAATGTATAATCGGCGACTCTGTATTTAAAATGAAGAATACCTTTATATAAACGAAATAATATTATAAAACTTATAAAATATAAATGTGACAAATACTGAAGCACCCACGACATTTAAAAGCAAAATTGAAGAAGTTCAATGAACATCGATTATCATTAATATTAACTAATTAATTTGAGCACATGTACTTTTATTATTTTTAAACAGAATATTTAGCATAGAAATTAAAAAAAAACAATTGTGTGATGTGGCAGTAAAAAAAACATAGTCTTATAGGGATGCTGATGGACCGAAAGGAATCGACGGAAGCAATCCTCTTTAAAAAATTAAATTCTCATATAATTTAAATATTTTTATATTTTATTAGTGATTTTTTTCTAAAATATTATAAGTTCATCCTCTAAAGTTTTAGAAGTTTGTCTCTTAATATAAAATCTTGCGGCATTCCTTAATTATATCATTGAATTATATTTAAATAATCATTTTAATTATTTAACTTTCAAAAATTATTAAATGATCATTAAATTTATCAAATTATTATAAATTAGACATTATATTATATTGAATTGTTTCAATATGGTCAATAAATTTTATCGAACGACTAAGAATAGTAATTAAATTATTAAAAATGATAATTATATTTTTTAAAACTATTAAAAAATAATTATTAAATTTATCATACTTTTACGGTTATTATAATATTATAGTGATTATTTTGTGATAGTTTAATAAATTTTTAAAACTTTAATAATTAAAATAATTGTTTTAATATAATTTAATAACCCTTAATGTAATTTACGCTTAAACTTTAATAACTAGTCTATTTTTTTTATTTTTAGTAACTCTTACCTTTATTGTACTTTTTTCATCTGTTTTTATGTCGTATTTCTTCTACCTTTTAACACGTTTTCAATCATTTGACAGTTCTCTTCGTTTATTTTTTTTCTCATAGTTGGATTTAACTTTGTCACTATCGATCAAGATGCAACTTATTTGTTATCGTGATGATCTTCTTTGTTTTTGACTTGATTCGTAAATTCACAAGTTTAAAATTATCAAATTTGACTCGAAATTAAAAATTGAAGTTTGAATCGACTCGAAAACTCGTAAGCTTAAATTTTTCAAGCTTGAAAAATTGATGCTCGACACAAAATACTCTCAAACTTAGCTCGATTAAAGCTCAAACTTTAACTCGAACATAAACCTTAAGTGCATGAAATCCTTATATTCTATTTTTAAAAAAAACAACATATACATGTTAATATTATTAATAATTTAATTTAAAAATCTAAAAATTGAATTTATACTTTTTAGGGTGCGTTTGGTTCACGGAATATAAGATTACCAGTGGGAATAAAAGATTACCAGGGAATAGGATTACTGATAATGTTGTATTTTGTGTTTGGTTGGTTTAGCAGGAATGTAAGATTATCGTGTTTGGTTAAATGAATAAAAGATTATTGGAATGTATATTTGAACAAATTGTCCTTATTATATATTTATTTTTTTAACAATTTGAAAAATATTTATATATTTTCTTTAAAAAATTTAAATTCAAAAAATTTATATAATTTTTTTTACAAAATTGAAAATATAAAAATGTTTAATGAAAGGGTAAAATTTTATTTTAACTCCTGAACTTCATATAAAATTTTAATTATAGACTTTTTTTGTAAATCTAAAATAGTTTAAGGATAAATTTGTAATTTAACCTTTGTAAAATTTTTATTATTCAATGAAAGAATAATGATATTTTTGAAAGAAATTTTTTTAAGGGCATTTTAGTCCAAAACGCAGGTAATTCAACAATACCTAGGAAAGGGAGGTAATGACATTTCCGGCCAACCAAACGGGGGAATGTGGATTCCATTCCCATGCGAATCTCACATTCCCCCAACCAAACACACCCCTAGAGTTGTCACAAGTTATTCGAGTCAGGTATGAAATAACTCGCTTCGGCTTGTTAATATATTGTATTTAAAAACAACAACATATACATGTTAATATTATTAATAATGTAATTTAAAAAATCTAAAAATTTAATATATATTTTTTAGAATTGTTCACGAGCTATTTGAGTTGAGTATGAAATAGCGTGCTTCGGTTTGTTAAGAATTTGAGTCTAGTTCTAACTCGAATTAAATCAATTCGATTTGAGAATTTACCGAACTCTAACAAAACTAATCTAGAATAACTCGAGATTTATCTCATCTCATTTACGATCTCAGATCCTATCGGTTTGGTGGATGAAGATTGCATGGCTTATATCATAGAATGCATAATAACACAAAAGGTCTTCAACATTTGACATTTTTCGCTATTGGAGCCTTAAATTGTTTTGGTAAATTAAAACTATAATTTTTTATATTAATAAAATCTACTAATTTTATTAAAAAAGAAAAAAAATCTAAAATTACAAGAAAGGATTTCAACCATAAATTTAAACTAAACACATAATTAAAATATTTTTGTATAATAATTGACTCAAGAAACTAGTCATTTAGGATCATACAATGATCATATAAGAAAAATGTTAAAAACTCATCCGAAAAACCCGAACAACAGATAATTTTTAGATAATCACCTTCTCGGATCACAAACAAACCAGACTCATATCAGTTTCAATCAATTTTTCAGATAAAATCATTTTTTTACATCCCTGCATATATAAATTTTAGTAGATCACAAGTCAAGATCTTTGAATGTATAGTCCTATTTGCGTTGACTCTTAAACGTCGGTGGCATGATATAGTATAATGGTCCATCAACTTTAAGGTTTCCTTTGTTTGCTTATTTATTTTAAAATGGATAAATTTATGAAATTTAAGGAGTGAAAATATATTGTCAATAGAAAATATATAAAAATATCTAAAATATATGATAATTTAAAATTTTCAGGGGGACAACTACCCTCACCCGCTCGCTCAGTCCATCTCTACGTTATGGTGAGTACTGAGTATACATATGACAAGTTGAAATGGTAAGGTTGCACAATGAGTCATATTGAAACAATAAGATGTTTTGGTATTGTGTTGGGATAGGCCTCATGTTAGCTAGAAAATGATATGGAAATTGCATGATTTGGTAAGGTAAAAGATAACAAGTTACTTTGAATGAGTGATTGAAAGCAAGTATGTTAGCATCGTGTGAAATGGCTTGTTTAGCTAATAAGCATGCAATAACTATTATGACATTCTTATGTGTTAATATGGAATAATGAATGATACATCATACATGTGGTTGGGTAGAAAGTTAGGTTAGATATCATTAAATGATGTTTTTAACATGTTCATGGTCATGGATGATTGAAACTTGCTTGAAATGTTTTTTTTAGTAATTTAGTAGGAAACTTGTGAATTTGAAGAGTAAAATTATGGTTTTTGAGTTGATATTTTTTTCCTTATATATTTTTCATAACCCCTAAAATAGAAGATTTGAGGGTTCAAAACTTGATAAAAATATTTATATTATTATAGAAATTTCAAAACTTTTAATTAAGTTTTGATACCCCCATTAGCTAGTGGCGGATTCAGAGAGTGGGTACCTGCTTACTTAAAATTCAAATTTTGTGATTAATTATATATTTTATCGGTGGTGTATATCTTGAAATTTTATTTATGTCAACCTTATATAAAAATTTTAAGTTGTCAACATATATATGTTTATTCTTAAAAATATTTTTGTATCTATCGTTTCATATTAAAAACTAATGATGTAAATTTCAAATATACAATCATTCATGTGATGAGATCTATATAGTTTTAATGTAATATGATACAGTGATGTATGTATCTGCCATACAAATGGAAAGCCCTAAACCCATAAATATATTGGCTGACCCATTTCAGTTCTCAAACAATCAAAAGCAAGAGAAGAGACAAACTGTCATTGTAATTTGGGTGAGTATTTGATTGAACCAAGTAAAGAAATTAAGTTAATATATCTTATTTCATAATTAAATTATATTCGAATATCTTAGTCGAATTGAATTGAATTGAATCGAATTGTTTGAACTGATGTTGAGTGTAGAAAAAATATCTATGGGTATAGCAAAATATTATCTTATCTGCAAAACCTGACGGCCCAGATTGTAATCCGAAGTAGGCGGCAAGATAGCCAAGCAGTTAACTTTGCTTCCTATAAAAATGTCCAAGGCAAGCTCTTCTTAAACCAAGTCTTCCATCGCAGAAACATTATCTTCTTGGCTTAGCAGAGAAACAAAGGCTAAAAAAGAAAAGAAACCATGTCTGTATCATCTGCTTCATCTCTCATACTCCCATCTTTCGCACCCAAAACCTTATCTTTACCAAACCAAAGACCCATTTCACTTTCCCCCTTCTCACTTTCCCATAGGCTCCATGCAAAGCCCCTCTCTTGTTCTGCTCTTCAAAGCTTTGAGCTTTTAGCTAGGAAATCTTTGTCTTCTCCTTCTAAGTTTGTTAGAAACGTTTCTGTTTCATCTGAATATGGTCAGGAAGCGGGTTTATTAGGTAGTGATGATGAAGAGGCTGCCAGTTTCTCCCCTGACTTGAAACTTTTTGTGGGTAATCTTCCTTTTAGTGTGGATAGTGGTCAGCTTGCCGGTTTGTTTGGAAGTGCTGGAAATGTTCAGATGGTTGAGGTACTTTTCGTTGTTTTCTTTGTTGTGTGCTAGTAATTCGCCTAGTTTATGTTTATGCTTGCTCATTTTTCTGAATTGGTTGCTGAATGTTGAGCTAATTGAAGACTTCTCATGGTGTAATTATGAAATTTCACGGAGGTTACAGCAGTATGAACCTTATTGATGACATGTCTAATTATAATGTGGAAGACTTTTCCCATTTTGATGTGTTGAAATTATTGCTTTTGACAGGTGATTTATGACAAGGTAACTGGGAGAAGTAGGGGGTTTGGTTTTGTAACCATGTCTACAACTGAGGAAGTTAAAGCTGCTGCTCAACAGTTCAATGGTTATGTAAGTCATTTTTATAGAGTATTTTGCAAGTTTAATAACTTCAATTCCTTCGTTTACGGATTACGGTACCTATGTAATCTTTAAAACAGTTTGAGGGTTGGCATTTATGGTCTAGCCTTGGAACCTACTGTTGCAAAGGAGTGTGCTTAAGTTTTGATTGTATTAATATATAATACTCCTGTAGCAATCTATAGTTTTTATTAGAAATTTGTACTTACCGATTGCAGGAACTCGAAGGGAGGGCATTGAGAGTAAACTCTGGACCACCACCGCCTCGTAGGGAAGAATTTTCTCCTAGAGGGGCAAGAGGTGGTGGTGCTACTATGGGTGCTTCAAATCGTGTCTACATCGGTAACCTTTCATGGGGTGTTGATGATGTAGCACTGGAGACCTTGTTCAGTGAGCAAGGCAAGGTTGTGGAAGCGAAAGTTGTTTATGACAGGGAAAGTGGTAGGTCAAGGGGTTTCGGCTTTGTAACTTACAATTCTACTGAAGAGGTGGACAGTGCGATTAAAACATTTGATGGAGTTGTAAGTTGATCATTTACCTTGCTTTTTTTTATGTCTAAATGTCTAATAGCAATTTAGGATCAATTACTGCATGATGGATATGAACTAGTCTAAATGTCTAATAACTTCATTAAAGATTTTGACCTGCTTAAAACTCTTTTGATGTAGGAGTTGGATGGCAGACCAATTCGAGTATCCGTGGCCGAGACTAAGCTGAGACGCCAGTTTTGAGTGCGACTGTTATCTACCGGTACTGCTAAAGTTCTTTGGGGTGTGAGTTCTAATCTCTGGGCATCTAATTGGTTTTTTAGTATAAAAGTATTCACTTGCCAAATCACATTTGGTCAATATATTGTTGGATATATGAACTGCAAAACTACACCGTTAGCACTGACTGAAAAAATAAACAGTAATTAAGAAGAACAGATTCGTAAACCGTGTCGTGGTAAGAACCACTGCCTTAGAAACGAATTCGCCTCGATGTGTGTAATCGCTGCAGTAGGCGGACCGTCCCCCGAGGTTAACACGGTCGCTCCGAATTCCGTACACCCGAAACCGGAGTGGACTGCTGGTGGTATTGCACTTCTGATCGGAAAGCACTCAGAGAGAACTCACGGAGAGAACTTTAGAAAACACTTTGTAAGTGAATTGTAAAATGTTTTGGAGTGAGTTGAGAAGCTGAATATAGCTCTCTATTTATAGGCTAGAAATAGGGTTAAAGTCGTCCATAAAATTTCAGGATTAAACCTCTTATTTGTAACAGCTGAAACGACTAGATGAACCTGACTCAGAAATAGTCCAGGTTCATTGTATCATTATTCAGCTGTTATAACTCCCGAAATTATATCATGTAACCCCTGGAATTAAATCAAATAACTCCTGTAACTCCTGATATTAACAGCTTGTCTCCTCTGTACAAAGCTGTAAATCAGTCCAGGTACATCTTAACGTTTCTGATTTAATTTAGGAATAAACTGTTTAATTTCTGATAAAAAATAATTCAGCTGTTATTATTTGAAATTCAAACAGTCCTCAGCAGCCTATAAATATCAGTTGATATCTTTCACATTTTCCATTTGTTTCTTTCAAAGAGAAATTCCTCAAGAATTTTCTCTAAAAAGATAGTATCCGCGCGGACGTGTCGAAGACACGTATTACCACGACCACGACCACGACCTCGACCTCGACCTCGACCACGACCACGACCACGACCACGAGCCGAGCCGAGCCGAGCCGTGCCGTGCCGTGCCGAGCCGAGACGAGACGGACGGACGGCGGCGGCGGTGCGCGAGAGCCCCCCTTGTTCTCTATCACTCAACAAGGAAGTGGAATGTCAAGCCTTAAATACCATTCCCAATAGTGTTTCCAACACTATGTGGGATTGAGCATTACCAACATTCCCCCACTAATGCGAAAGAAATCTTCTGAAACTCGAAAACAAGCTTTCCAGAAGAGTAATAGCGAGATTAGTTGCTTAAGCACTAGTGAACATATCTGGAACTAGTACATAGTGATGATGAGCAATCCTTCTCTTAGATAAGTGAAACTAGTCTGGAACTTTCTAAGATCAGGGTAAACTCATAACACACAACTAACCCCTTCATCCACCTGAGTCCTCGATGTGTAAGATATATATACAAAAGTATATATTTGGCCATCTTACCTCAGGATTCTAGTAAGTGTGCTAGAAAAATAGCCCAACATTTTTCATAGAAGGCGGCTAACCCTTCTCACTTACATAGGTTATTTCATCAAGTTTATCTCAACATAAACCACCCTTTAAAAAGGAATATGAAATAATTAAGAGCTTTTATAATAGCTCAACCTCACAAAGGGTATGGTGACTTTTTTCAAGTTCATTATAAATGAACCACCCAAACTCTGGGCTAAGAAGTCATTAAGAATAAATATTCAACCTCATTTATCGGTAAATTCAATAAGTCCTTCTCACTAGAACCATCCAAATACTTGGATTTGAATTTATTAAGAGTTTAACAAACTCAACCTTTCTGTCGGTAAGTTCATCATTTCCTACCCACTCACTCTGGGTTATGAACTTATTAAGAATAGATATTCAGCCAAAATCGGTAAATTCATCAAGTCTTTCTCACTAAGACCACCCAAAGCCTGGGCTATGAATTTATTAAGAGCAATTAAGCTCATCCTGGGCATGCACATTATTCATCATAGGGATAGGCAGTAGGAATGTGCACTATGAGTCTTTCCATGGTTTCGTTTGACCACATGGAACTTAGATAACTAAGTTGGGTATCCACCATGAATTCCTCAACCAATGGGCTTTAGACCCATCCCCCTCGACGAATCTAGGACCAGCTTCCGACTTAACCCTTTGGTAAGTGGATCTGCTAGGTTCCTTTCCGACTTCACATACTCTAAAGAGAGCACTCCATTCTTTATCAAGTGTCTAACTGATTCATGTCTTATGCGAATGTGTCTTTTCTTACCATTGTAAGCTTGGTTCTTAGCCACACATATCGCAGCTTGTGAATCACACAACAATGAAACTGGAGGAGTCGGTCTTCCCCACAACGGAATATCTGCTAACAAGCTTCTGAGCCACTCGGCTTCTTGCCCAGCTAGGTCAAGAGCTATAAACTCTGACTCCATGGTAGAACGAGCAATACAAGTCTGCTTTGATGATTTCCACGAGATCGCTGCTCCACCCAAAGTAAAAACATACCCGCTCGTAGAGCTTACCTCATCATTATCAGAAACCCAGTTGGCATCACAATATCCTTCCAATACCGCAGGAAAGCCAACAAACTCAAGTTTCCAATTCACAGTACCCTTAAGATACTTCAGTAAGCGTTTAAGCGCAATCCAGTGCTCACCACTCGGATTATGAGTATATCTACTTAGTCTACTCACAGCATAAGCAATATCAGGCCGAGTATAGTTCATTAAGAACATTAAACTTCCGATTAATTTAGCATATTCAGTTTGGGAAACACTACTTCCTTTATTCTTAACTAGATGTATGCTAGGGTCATAAGGAGTTCGAACAGGGACGACATCAAAACTGTCAAATTTCTTTAGCACTTTCTCTATATAATGTGCTTGACATAAAGAAAATCCCTTCTCAGTTTTGGTAATTTTGACTCCTAAGATTACATCTACTTCTCCCAAATCTGTCATCTCAAACTTAGTGGACAAGAAATTTTTAACTTTGTTAATGGACTCAATGTTAGAACTGAAAATCAACATGTCGTCAACATAAAGACTTATGATAACACATTCAGTTTCAAACATCTTCGAATACACACAAGCATCCGAACCATTCACAACAAAACCAAAACTAAGAATAGTTTTATGAATTTCTCATACCACTGTTTAGGAGCCTGCTTAAGTCCATAGAGTGACTTTTTGAGTCTACAAACTTTGCCTTCCATACCAGGTGCCTCAAAACCTAGTGGTTGCTCCATGTAAATCTCCTCATCTAGATCCCCATTCAAGAAAGCAGTCTTAACATCCATTTGATGTACCTGCAACTTATGAATAGAGGCTAGTGCAAATAATGCACGAATCGTTGAGATTTTTGTAACGGGAGAGTATGTATCAAAGTAGTCTAAACCAAACCTTTGAGTGAACCCTTTGACGACTAACCTTGCCTTGTACCGCTGAATCGAACCATCTGGCCTTAGTTTCTTCCGGAAGACCCATTTGTTGGAGATTGGTTTGAATCCCTTAGGCAAATCAACTAATTCCCAAGTATGATTAGACATTATCGATTCTAGTTCATCATTAACAGCGCTTTTCCAAAAACTAGCATCGATAGATCTTATAGCTTCTTCAAAAGTTTTAGGATCCTCATCTAATAGAAAAATTTGAGCTATAGGATCTGAAATGAAGTCTAAATCATTTATCTCAGAAATAAAGGAAGTAATAAAATCTGGTCCAAAAGAGGTTTCAACTCTTTGCCTTTTACTTCTTCTAGGCTCAAAATCATTTTGTTCAGAAGACCTAGCAGGTTTACTAGAAGAAGTTGATGGAATATATTCTATTTGTGTTTCAATATTTATTCTCGGTTCCTTTAAAGGAAAAGTATTTTCAAAGAAAACAGCATCTCTTGATTCACAAATAGAATAATCTTGTAAAAGCATGAATCTGTATGCAGCACTATTCGTAGCATACCCTATAAACACTGCATCAACGGTTTTAGGTCCGATGGTGAACTTCTTAAAGTCTGGCAAGCCCACTTTAGCCAGACACCCCCACACTTTCAGGTATTGTAAATTAGGAGCGTATCCTTTCCACAATTCATATGGGGTAGAATCTAATTTCTTATGAGGAACTCGGTTCAAGATATGAGTTGCCGATAGAATGGCCTCCCCCCACATGTTATCAGATAACCCAGAACTTATTAGTAAAGAATTCATCATCTCTTTTAAAGTTCTATTTTTCCTTTCGGCTATACCATTCTGTTGAGGAAAATAGGGGGCTGATGTTTCATGAATTATGCCATTCTTTTCACAAATATCTTTTAAGAAATTAGATCCATATTCACCACCTCTATCAGATCTAACTCGTTTGATTCTCCTATCTAACTGATTTTCAACTTCTGCCTTATAAATAAGAAAGAAGTTTTCAGCTTCATCTTTAGTTCTTAGGAGATAAACTTTTGTATATCTTGAATAATCATCTACAAAAGTTATGTAGTAGTGTTTTCCTCCTTTACTTTCAGTGTTTCTAAAATCTGCTAGATCAGTATGAATGAGTTCTAACAGTTCAGTCTTTCTATTAGAAACAGTCTTAAAGTGAGGTTTAGTATGCTTAGCTTCTACACAAATCTCACATTTGTTAAAGCTAGTTGTGTCTAGTTTAGGCAGAACATTCATATTCATTAATTTCTTTAAAGCATGAATATTCACGTGTCCTAATCTAGCATGCCACATATCAATGGATTCAACAATATAAGCAGAAGTGGTAGCTTTATTTTCATTAAATTGAGTTTCTATGACAAATAAACCATTGCTTAAAAACCCTTTCCCCACATAATCACCATTTCGGGAAAGTACAAGTTTATCTGCCTCAAAAACTAACTTAATGCCTGCCTTATTCAGAAGCCCACCACTTATCAAATTTCTACGCAAGGCAGGTACAAACAGAACATTATTTAAAGCCAGAGTTTTACCAGAAGTCAGCTTGAGTAAAACCTTGCCTTTGCCTAGCACTTCAGAGCTGCTAGAGTTCCCCATGTACACACGTTCACCAGTGTTTCCATCCTCGAACTCAGTGAAAAACTCCTTCCTTGCGCAGAAATGCTTCGAAGCGCCAGTGTCAACTACCCATTCTGAACTGTTCTCCACCAGATTAACTTCTGAGACCACCGCAGCAATGATCTCATCATCTTCTTCTACAACGTGCATCTGTGGCTTGTTGTCATTCTGGCGGTCTGAGCGGTGTTGGCATTGGTAAGCCTTGTGGCCAGGTAAACCGCAGACATAACACTTGAACGTCTTTCCTTCCGGTTTGGCCTTTCCTGACTTCTTGAAGTTGGTAGCCTTCTGTGGTTTCGTCTTTTTGTCTTGATTCCCACGTTTCATGATCTTCTTAAATTTGGACTCAACCAAGTTAGCTCTAAAAGATAAATTACTCATAGAATTAGTAAGCTTATCTTTTAAACGGTTGGCTTCTTCAATCTTCATATGGCCCACAAGTTCTTCAAGCGAAATGTCTCTCTTCTTATGCTTAAGAGAGTTACGGTAATCGGACCAGGACTTGGGCAGTTTCTCAATGAGTACATTGGCTTGCAGCACCTCACACATTTTCATCCCTTCAGCGATGATGTCAGCGACTAAGTTCTCATAGTCATGGACTTGATCCATTATTGGCTTGTCGTCTGTCATCTGGAATTTGAGCCATTCGCCGACAACGTACTTCTTGATCCCCGCATCATCCGCACCATACTTCTTGTCGAGAGTGTCCCATATTGCCTTGGCACTCTTTTCTCTAAGGAACATATCAAATAGTTTATTTGACATGTGGCTGAGCAGATGTCCTCGTACCGTCTTGTTATCCTTCTCGAATTTCTCGTAAGTAGCGAGAGCGGCGGCGGCAGTTGCTAAGGCATCATCATTGAGGACCGCATCAGCATCATTACCAACAGCTGGGGTTGGCGGCATGGTAGGTGGTGGCTTGAGCAACACGTAATCAAGATCAAGTTGCTCGAAGAATATAAGAATTCTTTGGGACCACCTTCTATAGTTCTTTCCATCAAGTGCATCGAGCTTGGAAAGATCGGGAATGAGTTTGCTCAAAGGTGTCGACATGATTGCAGTTTATGGGAATTCGTTTCTAAATTGTTGGACATATGAACTGCAAAACTACACCGTTAGCACTGACTGAAAAAATAAACAGTAATTAAGAAGAACAGATTCGTAAACCGTGTCGTGGTAAGAACCACTGCCTTAGAAACGAATTCGCCTCGATGTGTGTAATCGCTGCAGTAGGCGGACCGTCCCCCGAGGTTAACACGGTCGCTCCGAATTCCGTACACCCGAAACCGGAGTGGACTGCTGGTGGTATTGCACTTCTGATCGGAAAGCACTCAGAGAGAACTCACGGAGAGAACTTTAGAAAACACTTTGTAAGTGAATTGTAAAATGTTTTGGAGTGAGTTGAGAAGCTGAATATAGCTCTCTATTTATAGGCTAGAAATAGGGTTAAAGTCGTCCATAAAATTTCAGGATTAAACCTCTTATTTGTAACAGCTGAAACGACTAGATGAACCTGACTCAGAAATAGTCCAGGTTCATTGTATCATTATTCAGCTGTTATAACTCCCGAAATTATATCATGTAACCCCTGGAATTAAATCAAATAACTCCTGTAACTCCTGATATTAACAGCTTGTCTCCTCTGTACAAAGCTGTAAATCAGTCCAGGTACATCTTAACGTTTCTGATTTAATTTAGGAATAAACTGTTTAATTTCTGATAAAAAATAATTCAGCTGTTATTATTTGAAATTCAAACAGTCCTCAGCAGCCTATAAATATCAGTTGATATCTTTCACATTTTCCATTTGTTTCTTTCAAAGAGAAATTCCTCAAGAATTTTCTCTAAAAAGATAGTATCCGCGCGGACGTGTCGAAGACACGTATTACCACGACCACGACCACGACCACGACCACGACCACGACCACGACCTCGACCTCGACCTCGACCACGACCACGAGCCGAGCCGTGCCGTGCCGTGCCGAGCCGAGACGAGACGGACGGACGGCGGCGGCGGTGCGCGAGAGCCCCCCTTGTTCTCTATCACTCAACAAGGAAGTGGAATGTCAAGCCTTAAATACCATTCCCAATAGTGTTTCCAACACTATGTGGGATTGAGCATTACCAACATATTTTACTTCCCATCATTAGTCTTCCTGTTTTTACGTTTCATCCATGTACTAAGAGATCTACAATTTTCAAAGTTCAATTTTCATTTCGTTTAATGGTACTTCTGATTGAGTTCCATTTATAAAATTTGCTATATTCTCTTTTAATCAGGTGCACGGAAAGCATGCAGCCGGAAGCCGGCGGCTGCTGCGTCTTTCGGTTCTGGGGAATCTACATACATGCTTCTTGAACCAGCTGCATTTGGATACTAGGGTGATCTGCTATGTCCGATGCCTGTACTAAGATTCAAAGAAAATATTATAAACCATTGCTTTATATTGGATAATTTCAGGCTTTCTAGATGAGTTATATTATATATATATATATATATATATATTATTCATCATAAGACAAAATATTTGTGAGGTTCATGATTCCTAACTTTTGAACTCCAAAAACCTGACTTGAAGTCTAAGAACAGTAATATTATATTAACCAAGTGTTCATGATATAATCACCAATCAGAACCCTATCTATATATAATAACATATTCTACATTTGTCCTTATTTAGGGTTTTTTTCATGCTAAATATTGATGTGATGATATATCTGATGCAAGAAGGTGACTTATAGGTTGCATTCCATGTCATATATATATATATATTAAATGGGCATAGTTGAATTGGTAATGGAAAGCACGAAAGGCGTGGATTTTCACTAAAATAGTAACCTTGATTTTAAATAGGTACTGCATAACATGCTAAAATTTGTTCCAATGATAAAATTGATGTTGCGAGCATGTTTCTTTATGGCGTAGAGTGCTTGTAAGTGATTTTCATCTTTAAATATGGGCATATTAGGAAGCATTTCCAATTGAAAATCAATAAAATTTATAATTTTTATATAAATAATATCGATATTGTTCTTGAAGTCTCGATAGTCGTTAAAAATTTTAATAATAAATTTTTATATTTATATTAAAATTCTAGAATTTGTACTTAAATTTTGATATTTGTACTATCAGTTTTAAAAAATGATTCTTTAGGTTTACAAACTTTTCTAGTATTACTTCCTTTGTCCCTCATGTTTATATTTATACTTATATTGACCCCTACAAGTTAATTCAGTGAGCAAAATTACCCTTAATGTTTTGACTTATTTATAAATCAATTCTGTGTATTTATTTATGTTTAAATTATATGGATTCATTTAGAATATATCCAACATGGTTTTGATACTGAAATGTTGTATTTTTTATTTGATCGTATGTTCGGGTCAAATAGGGGGTGTCACATTCATAATTCGATGGTTAAAATAAAGTCGTCCTTATAATTTAGTGACTATACATGTAGTTTACCTTAAAAATATTTGTGTTGTCATATTATGATCCTTTGTTCACACTAATTAAGATTTTTATGGTTTAAACGTAAAGTTTTGTCTGGAGAAATTATTTTATGAATATTATTAATCACGTTATATATGGGAAAATCATTCATATCATTTTTCCACGTCCTAATCTACTCATAATTAAATTTCAGGTGACCACATATTTTTATATTTATATAAAAAAAATGAAGATTCATCAAAAAAGAATTGATATGAAAAAAAATGAAGTGTATGATTTTTACTAATTGTAATCATAGATGGTGTAACGAAAAAGATTCATATGATAATTCTTTTATCTAGAATTTTTTTTTCTTTATCTAGAAAAAAATTTAAAATTCATATAATAATATTTTTTTTTGTCTGGAGGAGATGCATAAACTAATGAGCTTACAACATAAATTCATTGTATTTGTATTTTTAATATATATATATGAAATAGTATTTTAAAACTATCAAATATTTTTATACTAATAGAGACAAAATGAGTAAAGGAGGGGAGGATAAATTGATGACAATGGGTATCCAAAATAGGTACCTAGTCAGACAGCAGTTCCACATTCCTCTGTTCCTAAAATCATATTTAATTTGGTTTAAATTCGTATGGAATATTTAAAATTTAAAAAATCAATTAAATTTTTATCCAATTATAACCACTAGATTTTAACAATTTTTTTTCTAAAATATTATTATCACCTAATATATTACAATTCTATTACATATCATGTTTATTAAAGAGGAAATAACCTCAGTGACCGAAAATGCCTTATAATATACGATTTTAACTAACTTTTTTTGGATTTACCAAAATGACCAACAAAATCGCAACGCGGACTCTAATTTTTCAACTCAATTTCTAAATTCGCAACGCGAATATCCAGATTCGCAACGCGATTTTGAAAAATGTGTTGTGATAGTTAAAATGTGTTGCGATAGTTTGAAAAACGTGTTGTTGCGATAGTGAAAAAGTGTTGCGATAGTGAAAAATCCAAAATAAGTTTACATTTTAACTATTCAAAATTAACGTGGAGTTTAAAACAATAAAGAATGTGTTGCGATAGTGTAAAAGATTCTCAAATCATTTGTAAGATCTTAGTTTGAAACAATAAAGAATGTGTTGCGATAGTGTAAAAGATTCCCAAGTGTTGGCAATGCTTAATCCCACATAGTATTGGAAACACTATTGGGAATGGGTATTTAAGGCTTGGATTTCATACTTCCTTGTTGAGTGGAAGAGAACAAAGCGGACTCTCGCGCACCGCCGCCGCCGCCGTCCGTCTCGTGGTCGTGGTCGTGGTAATACGTGTCTTCGACACGTCCGCACGGATACTATCTTTTTAGAGAAAATTCTTAAGAAACAAATGCAATACCACCAGTCGTTGCGATAAAATCGCAACGAATTTGGAAAATCGCAACGCGAACTTGGACTATCGCAACGAATTTATCGCAACGAATTTGGAAAATCGCAACGCGAACTTGGACTATCGCAACAAACTTGGAAAATCACAATGCGAACTTCGACTATCGCAACGCGAACTTAGACTATCGCAACGAATTTGGAAAATCGCAACGCGAACTTCGACTATCGCAACGTGAACTTGGACTATCGCAACGAATTTAGACTAACGTAAATTTGGAATAACGTAAATTTGGAAAATCGCAACGCGAACTTGGACTATCGCAAAATCGCGTTGTGAATTTGGAAACTGAGTTGAAAAATTAGAGTTCGCGTTGCGATTTTGGTGGTCATTTTGGTAAATCCAAAAAAAGTTGGTTAAAATCGTATATTATAAGGCATTTTCGGTCACTGAGGTTATTTTCTCTTTATTAAAAGTAACTTATAAATTTATTTTTTAAAATGTCACATACAGTGACAAGACGTGATATTAAAAATAAAAAATAGAGAAAAAAATATGGAAAGGTAGTTAGTGTTAGTTAAGGTAATGAATAAAGAGTAATGTGACGTTTGGTTCGCTAGAATGTTTATGAGGGAATTGGAATCTGTGAATGAATTGGAATCTGTAGGAATTGGAATCCAATTTCATATTTTGTTTGGTTGGCAGGAAATGGAATTGGAATCCAATTCTATATTATGTTTGGTTCGCAGACATGTCAGATGAATTTGATTTCAGTAATGTAATATGACATAATTGTCCTTCTTGTTTTTTTGCTTTATTTTACAACTTACATGTAGTAATATATTATAAAAAATTAAAAAATAATAAAATTTTATTTTATTAATTGATTATTCATTTCAATAAATTATAAAAATCATGCTAATAAACATTATAAGTTAAAATCATCGCAATCAAAATATGTTAATAAGTTACCAAAAGAAAGAGTAATATTTCGATACATTCCAATCGGAATATGTTAATTAGTTACCAAAAAATATACCAAAAACTATTTTTATTCAATATATGAATTAGAAACTCGACCCGACACGACTTAAAATAATAAAAAAAATTATTTTTATTCAATAAAACATTGACATAATTGAAAAAAAATTATATATAGAGGGGTATTATTGTAATTATTCCTAAATATATAAGGTAAAATTATATTTTTTTTCGGGTCGGTCCGATTTTTTTCACTCTAAACCCGAACCAGACCCGAATATCACACTTAAAAAAACCCGACCCGACTCGACCCGAATATCACACTTAAAAAACCCGACCCGACCCGAACAAAATAAAGTTTCATCCGACCCGACCCGAATATATGAATTAAAAATCCAATCCGACCCGACCCGAAATAATAAAAAATTATTTTTATATAATAAAAACAGTGACTTAATCCAACCCGACCTGAATTATATATATTTTAGGGTAGGTCCGGTTTTTTTCACCCTAAACCCGAACCCAACCCGAATATCACACTTAAAAAAACCCGATCCGACCCGACCAAAATAAAGTTTCACCCGACCCGAATATATGAATTAAAAACCCGACCCGACCCGAAATAATAAAAAATTTTTTTATTCAATATATGAATAAGTTACCAAAGGATTGATGAGGGTAGTATGGTCCATCAGAGATTCCAATTCATTTGAAAAACTTGAACCAAACATGGGAAAGTGGTGGAATTGGATTCCAATTCCCACAAATTCCAAGGGATTCCATCCAACCAAACGCCACCTAATAGCTTAATATATATATATAAAGTTATAATGATAAAACTACTCTTATAAATAATTATTTTCTTTTTAGTATTTTATTTTTAACGTTTTAATTTTTGGTTAAAATAGACAATGATGGATGTAAATTATTAATTGAATAATGATTAATACATCTTATCAATGTGATATTTTTAAATATATTCAATAATTGACATAATATGTGTCACACCATTCAAAATGATGACATAACATGTACTACATTATCTAAAGTGATGACATAATATGTATCACATCAATAATTGAACACGTGAGAAAATTTTATATCAATAATATAAGTTGACGGTTAGTTGATTAACATGTTCTTCTAATAGGGTTTATATTGAACAAAAAATAGAATTTTAAGAGTTAAAATATTCTAAAAATATACAAAAATAAAATGATCATTTATACAAATATTAAGGAATAATTTATCATTATACCTAAAAAGAAAAGGAAAGGTTTGAAATCCAGTGGCATCTGAATTATGTCTTTGAGCATAGATTATCGAGGTCGAGTTTCTCTACACATATTCGAGTTTTATATTGTATTTGTGTAAGTCACGTGTTAAATTATATTTCCTAAGAGGGGTAAGCTTTTGGCAAGCTGAAGTGGGAATGAATGTTAGCTGGAGTCTTAGGAGACTGATGAAAATGAGGCAAGAAGCTTATCCGGTCCTTGCAAATGTGGCAGACAGTGTTACTTTGAAGGCTGCCTGGTTTTGGAAGGAGATCAGGATCAAGGGTGCCAAGGTATTTGGCAGAAACTGGTATGGTTCCCTCTGCACATTCCTAAGCATGGTATCATTTCTTGGATGACCTTGTTAGGGAAACTTCCCACTGGTGATAGGTTGTTGCGTTGGAGCATAAAGGTCGATGGCAGATGTTGTGTTTGTATTGATGCAATGGAGTCCATTGATAATTTCTTTGAGTGTTCTTTTGCAAAGGATAACTGGAGGGCTATTTTGAGGCTGTGTGGCCTGACTAGACAGGTCAGGTGTTGGAAGGGGGAGGTGAAGTGGGCTGTTGCCAACCTCAAGAGTAAACCCTTGCTCACCATCATCCTCAAACTTGCTTGGAATGCCCATATTTATCTCATCTGGGAGGAAAGAAACTGCAGGTTGTTTCGTGAGAAGGTTAGAGAAGTTGCTGCTATTTTTTCATCTGTCAAGGAGGTTGTCAGAATCAAATTACAGGGAAGGAATATAACCATGGTGGATAATGTTACTTATAGCCTTTGAAGTAATTGGGTATCTCTTGTTGAGGTCTTTAGTGTTGTTTGTTGTGCATAATCTGTAGCAATTTTTGCTGCTGTTTGTTGCATGTATGTGTAGCAGGTTTGCTGCTTCTTTAGGTAATATAAAGGATTTATTCAGTAAAAAAAATTAATTGTATAATTCAATATTTTTAGTAATTAATTATAATTATAATTTATTAATTTAATTAAAAATTATAATAAAAAGTAAGCATGTTCGTACCAATTATCAATATTCGATATTGATACACATTTTTAATAATGTGTATGATGGTGTACTGAATCCAGATTTGTGTGCTGGGTCAAGATCTTCTTTGAGTGCGGCAAATTGTGTCACGTTTCCTTGAATGTGTGTGCTGATATGGTGGAATTCATCATGGCTGACTCCTTTCTTTCACATTACTCAATATTTCATTTTAGGACAAATGCTCATATTTTGGAACGTTAATTATTTGTTAACTAACTATTTTCATTTATATAAGATTTTTATTCCAAAATAAAACGTTAGAAGACCAAAATGATTCAAAATAATCAAATTAACCTTGTGGTCGTGGGATCGAGTCTCACGGTGGGCAATTCATAATTCTGACTGCCGGAGGTCTCCCACGGAAGCTGCTCTCAACCTGGCGTTGGGGACAAACTACTATCCTACCTCCCCTTACCCCATTACATATGGGAATATGGTAAGCTAATTTAGCTAATTTGATTAAGTAATATATAATATTATTTTAAAATGAAGAAATTTAAGTTTTAATAATTTGTAATAATTACAATATAATATTGGTTCATAATTTTTTAACCATTAATAACGCAAACATATCTTACAGATATAATTGTTCGAAATTAAGATCTCAAGAAAAAACAACACTCAAATATATATATATATATATATATTGAAAATCAAATTAACTTTATTGATTAAGTATGTATTGTATTGATAGAAACCGAAAATTTCAGATGATAATATTAGATTTTTAAAAAAATAATATACAAATATTATTCTAAAATAAAGAAATATTTTTTAATAGTATAAGGTGATTACAATACAATATAGGTTCAAACAATTATTTAACTATCGTTAACGCATATATTTCTTATAAATATAATTACTCAAACTTAAGAATCTAAAAAAATAACACTCTTTTTTAATCATCGAGTCTGTCTCCTAACTTGTAAAATATAGTTTTTAAAGTAGAAACATGAGGGAAGAGCAGGCGATGATGGGAAGTCCAAAGAGGTGCGAACTGTGCTCCAAAAACAGGGTGCATCCATCTTTAACCGAACATTATCGGATACCATGTTTTGTTTTTTCTGTGCGAAATAATACCCATACCTCTCTCCATTGCCTTCACTAAATATTAACAGAAAAATTCATTTTTTTCAAAGTTGAAACTTTTGCATATTTTTGACCGAGTGATGTTTGGTTATATTTTTCTTGGAGTTCATGACTCACATTGTCAACTAAACCACTTCTGTGAATCAGTTTAGCTATATAGTTTATGATTTATAGGGATATACTAGCCAGTATCATCCAATATTTATATATCATTTTTGTTTCATATGTGTTTTGCAATAAAATATATTGATCTTATTATATTGCACTAAGATTAGGATAATAATTTCATTATTAATAAACTTATTTTTTAAAAATAATATAATGATCATTTTTTATCCATATATGAAATGACCATCTAGCTCAGTTGGTAGAGCACAAGGTTCTTAATCTTGAGGTCGTGGGATCGCGTCCCACGGAGGGTATTTCATAATTCGGAGGTCTCTTACGGAAACTGCTCTCAACCTGGTGTTGGGGCAGTCTACTATCTTACCTCCCCTTATCTCATACATATGGGAAAAAGGGACAGCCATTTTTTTATCCATATATTTTTAGCATTTTAGCTTTAACATTTTAAATTTTTGACAAAAATAAACATTGTTCAATGAAAATTACTAGTTAATTAAAGACCAACGTATGTTATTGATATGATATTTTCCAACATACTTAATTGGTGATGTAGCATGTGACACATCATCACATTGGTTGACAAGCCACATACCACGTCATCATATTAGATGACAAGATATGTCCACATCACCAATTAAACACATGAAAAAAATATCACGTCACCAATATATATTAATCTTTAGTCAATTAACGATTTTAATCTAATATTATTTTTTCAAAAATAAAAATGGTAGATTAAAATACTCCAAAAAAGATTAAAATAATCATTTTAGGAGATATTGAAATAATTTTATTAGTATGACATGTTAATTATATTATGGATAATATGTTGTCATTTGGAAAAACTCCATCTGTATAAATCCACTAATGATTCTAAGTTTCTAATTAGTGTTTGAGAGGTAACGCCCTCACCCTAGATATTTATTAGCACTTCACAAATCTCTCTTAAAAGAATTAAAATCCTTCTATAATATAAAATATGTAAAAATTATGCAAATTCTAATTATTATTTTTTATTAAATAGATAAATATTATATTTTCAAGATAAATATTGAGACTCGAATTTATACAAAATGATATAATATCAATATCATTAATTATTTGATTAATTAACAGGTCACCAAATCCTAATTAATTTTTCCGTCTCTTTAATGCTTCAACCAAATCTTTCTTAAAAAATTCCAAACTTTTAATTTGGGAAAGTAAAAGATTAAAGGGTAAACTACAAATTTAATACCTAAACTATCAGTTTTCATCTGTTTTAGTATATAAACTTTCATTTTTTTCAAGATCATTCTTAACGTTTAGTTTTTGTTTCATTTTAGTATCCCTCCATTAAAAACTTAACGGACAGGCTCGCCGGCAGTCGCGTCTACAATCATCAGTCATCGCATCCGTTGGCCGATGAAGTCCAAACTTTCCAGCCATCACTGTTTTGACCCCTGAACATGATTTCGGCCTCTGTTTCATCAAAAAACGCCTCAATCGCCCCAAAATGACGATGGACTCTTCAATTTCTTCATCCTCTTATCCTCATGGTCCACCTTTTGATGGGCTTAAAATTGGATTATGTTGACAGACTCATAATTCTCTTTTAGTCCACTATTCGTATTGGTCGTCCTTCTACTGGAAATATGCCATGTAACACCCACAAACCGATACGGGTGACCCGATCCGATCTGATTTGTCACATTAGGGTCGCCAGAGCAACCCACAACAAAAATATGGGGAAAAAAATAAAAATTTCTATTGAAACGCGTAAAATCATAAAACAATTTATAATTAAAATACAAGTTCAAAAAACATTCATATATTACAAACAGAATTAAAATCATACAAATTTCATACTCAATATAAAAATCAAATATGACCTACATGCCCCCTAATTACACTTGTATCGTACTCTTCAACCCAAGCCAAAGGAACTCCCACTACATATGTCAATAGCTACGCTGAATCAATTTTTTAACCTGAAATTGTGAGTAAAAGAGTGAGCTTTGGGAAGCTCAGTAATACAGAACTACCAAGTAATACTGAAGGACATGTAGATAAATGGAAAAAATAATTTTTTTCTTATTGATTCAGACGTCTACAGGTTTTCGGGACGAGCTGAGGTTCCACTAATATTTCTTTGACTAAAAGATATGAAACTTATAGTTCAGAGGAAAAGCTCAGATGACCAGGTTCAGGAGATCGGAGTAGGATGTCTAGTGTGTTCCAACCAAACCCAAAGAAAAAATGTACAAATCTTTTTAAAAAAGTAACAATTTAAAATATCTTTTTAAGACCATAGTAAAACCCTCCAACCAAACAACAATATGTATTTCCTGAGAACTGCATCCATAAGGACTTACCTTAGGCTCATTGGGCATATGTGTCAATCTAAGGGAGCACCTTGGGTTCATAAGGTCTTACCCTAGCCAAAGCGTAGGTGCCCACCTGAAGGGTGTGCCCTCAAGTCCATAAGAACTTACCCAAAGCACATAGCAGAGGTGTCACCCTAAGGGAGAACCTTAAGGTGTATAAGGTCTTATCACTAGGCCCATTGGGCCTAGGATCCTACCCAAGGGTTGCCTTAGATCCATAACGAATTACTAGCTGATCAATATTGAACCTATATAAGGAATTACGAACCGATCGGTGCTGAACCTGTATAAGGAATTACCAGCTTGATCAGAGCTAAACCTATATAAGGAATTACCAGCTTGATCAGAGCTGAACCTGCAGAGACTTCATATCAGATCCCAGAGTACCCTGAAGAAATTAGTTTTCAGACATTATATTATGGTAGTAGATAAATCAGAGTTCAAACATATCAATTCAGTAGAAATAGTATCAAGAGATCATGAATCTGACATGCAGACTTAAAACTTCAGTAACTAAAAAATCTCGATAAAACACATTCAAAATAGATAAAACAAATATATAACACATAAGGAACACACTAAATGATCCAGTTATTTTTCGAAGATACTTGGTAATTATCGAGCGAGGTAAACATGAAATTCTTCAATTGATCGAACTTGAAGACTGTGATCCCTTTTCAAAAAGTTGGATTACTAACAGACTGATTAATCATTAAGAAAGTGATACATTTAGTATCTTATAATATTAAGATATAACTATAGGATGTGTCAAAAATTGTTGCATAAGAATTATTTAAGATTCAGATATTCCTGTGGTGATTTTGTAAATCATACACACGTAAGGGCAATATAGTCATTTAAATTCTTGAGAAATTTTGGTAATTCATTTTAATAAAGGAAAGTAGTGATTTACAGTATTTTAGATTTCAGGTGTCTTATCCAGCTTCTATATCTAGTCGAACTGATCAGATCCCAATAATGTGGTACTTATCGAGTTTGCGGGTAGAGTAGTCTCACGAATATTCACTTCTTAGTACTAATTGAATCATAGAGTTGAGTTGAGATGAGTTGAGCACTTTTAGAATTATCATTGAAAGAACCTTGAGGAGACGAACAGGCATTCAATCATTTCATGACTTGAGGGTATCTTAGGTCATT